AGCGCATCCAGTCCAAGATTGAAGGCAAGGGCAACGGCATCAAGACCGTCATCGTCAACCTGAGCAGCGTCGCTCAGTCCCTCGCCCGCCCGCCCGCTCACGTCATCAAGTACTTTGGCTTCGAGCTGGGCGCCCAGACCAACACGAGCCCCAACGACGACCGTTGGATCATCAACGGCGCCCACGACGCCAGCAAGCTCCAGGACTACCTCGACGGTTTCATCTCCAAGTTCGTCCTCTGCAAGAAGTGCAAGAACCCCGAGACCGACGTGCACATCAAAGATGGCAACATCACGCTCGACTGCAAGGCTTGCGGAAAGATTTCCGACGTAGACCCCCGCCTCAAGCTCAGCTCCTTCATCCTGAAGAACGAACCCAAGAAGGGCAAGAAGGACAAGTCCAGCAAGAAGGCTGAGCGCCGTGCCCGCAAGGAGGCTGAAGCCCGCGGCGAGGCTACCTCCCCCGACGGCGGCAGTCCCGGTGACAGCGCTGAGGAGAACGGTGACGATGGTGACATGGCACTCGAGGCCGGCAGCGACGACGAGCTGACCCGCCAGATCAACGAGGGCGCCAAGGAGATTGAGGAGGAGGATGCCAAGGAAGTTGAGTGGTCCATCGACACCTCGGAGGCCGCCATCAGGGCTCGTGCCCAGGACCTTCCCGACGACCTCAAGCGTGCCCTTGTCATTGAGGATGACGACGAGGGCGGCTCCAGCTACGACACTTTCGGCAAGTGGATCATCGACACTGGCGCGGAGAAGGGCGGTGTTGAGAAGCTTGACAACGTCGACATCTACGTCAAGGCCAAGGAGCTCGGCATCGAAACCAAGCACCGCACACTTACCGTCATTCCCCAGACCCTCTTCACCGAGAAGATCGTCAAGCAGATGGATGGCCGTGCTCCCATGCTCAAGAAGATGATCACCTCGGACAAACATGAGAAGGCTTTCCTTGGTGGCATTGAGCGCTTCGTCGGCAACGACAAGCCCGAGCTCATCCCTCAGGTCTCGGCCATCCTGTTGAAGGTGTACGAGAACGACCTCGTCTCGGAAGACCAGCTCAAGGGCTGGTGCTCCAAGGCCAGCAAAAAGTATGTCGACCTCAAGGTCAGCAAGTCTGTCCGCAAGTCGGCCGAGCAGTTCAAGGAGTGGCTGGAGAATGCGGACAGCGACGACGAGGATTCCGAGTAGAACCTCGACTGAAGCGACACGTGCATGGTAATAGTACGCGGAATGTCCAACTGTTGTCAGTCATTACCTTTGGTCTTGCTTGTCTTGTTTTGATTTGTTTTAGACGGCGTGTAGGTAACTCTACTCCTGTTTCCGACACACGTTTGGGCCAGTCGCGATGACAGCCTCGTATTCTTCTCCCCTCTAGATAGCCTACTAAAGAAACTTTGCTCTCGCACCACCTCGCTTCAGTGACCTGCATTGCTCTACACGAGCCCCACTTGCCGTTCGCCGTTATTATTTCCTTCCACCAGGTGCTCGGGCCCATCACTATCATGCCCGAAGTTTCTGCATGCACTGTGTGGCGAGCGCATTGGATTTGTGACAGTAGTTCCATCCGGGCTTGTGGATGCAGCTGCATGCCCCACCCCAATGATCGATCTTCGCTAAAGCCATGCAATCTCACCACGTAGTCTTGCCTCCGGTCCATTCACGATCAAATCCCTCAGCCTTTTTCACATTCAGCATGCACGATAACACACGAAAAAGCAACATCGGGATTCGCCTAGTCTCAGCACGCGTGCATCGACTTGCTCTCGCACCGGCCATCTCCACAAGGGTACATTAGTCTCCGAGGCTTAACCCCACCCAGGCAAGAACAAGCGGAGCTCCCATGCTCTGGACAGCAGGCCATGCACACTTTTTTCACCACCGCGCATGGTGGCCAGAGCGAGGGACGCGACTGGCGAGAACGAACGAGGGCAGCCCTCGTTGTTTAAAATGTGGCGGACCCCCACTTGGGGGATGAGTTGCAACCTCTCGCAGCCGCCAAATCGTACGCAACTGTACACCACCGTGAGCGACTTCTGGAGTTTTGCGCTCACGTCAATTGCGAAAAGCTCCACTTCACCACGCCGAGTCTCACGATCTTGCCGACAGGCTTTCGATAGCAGTGTCAAGCCTGTGCGCTCAGTTCCCGCGCTTTCGAACCCTCCAGGATCAAGAGAACGGCCATGAATCCGATTCAAGCTTACCCTGCTGAGGGCGTGGTCGTTCAAGATGCTCATCACGGCCACTACGCGCCCGAGGCAGCTCATGACAAAACCGGTGCTGGCACATATGTGACATCTGAGAATGAGTCGCATAACGGTGCGGCCGGGAATGAGGTTCTAGAACGCGATGCGCAGACCAAGGGACGGTGGTTCCAATACCTCAAGACGAAACAATTCTGGATCACATTGGTCCTTGGGCAGGGTACGCACCAAACACACTATTACTGGATGTTCGAAATGTAGACTAACAAGGTATTACTTCCAGTCCTCGCTCTCTGCATCACCGGTACAAATACATTATCGTCTCTGCTCGCGGAAGAGGGTACATCGATACCCGCCTTCCAGTCCTTCTTCAACTACGTCCTCCTCAACATAATCTACACATCGTATACCCTCTACAAGTACGGCTTCAAGAAATGGGGGCGAGTCGTCATAAAAGACGGCTGGCGGTTCTTTATCCTCGCCTTCATGGATGTCGAGGGCAACTATTTCATCGTTCTGGCGTATCGTTACGTAGGTTCTTGTCCATTCTCTCGTGTAGACTTGCATGCTGACACACGACTAGACCACCATCCTCAGCGCCCAATTGATCAACTTCTGGGCCATCGCCGTTGTCGTAATAATTTCCTTCTTCTTCCTCAAGGTCCGCTACCACTACACGCAAATTTTCGGCATCCTTCTGTGCATCGGCGGTCTAGGCGTAATCTTCGGCTCTGATCACATCACCGGTACCAACAACTTTGGCGCTACGGACCAAGTCAAGGGCGATCTTTTTGCGCTTCTAGGCGCCACATTCTACGGTCTGTCCAACGTATTTGAAGAGTGGCTGGTTTCCGAACGGCCGCTGTATGAGGTTGTTGGCCAACTTGCTTTCTGGGGCATGTTCATCAACGGTACGCAAGCGGGTATCTTCGACCGCGCCGCCTTCCGCAGTGCGACTTGGAACGCCAAGGTTGGAGGCTACCTCACCGGATACACACTCATCCTTTCCCTCTTCTACTCCCTTGCACCGGTCCTGTTCCGTCTCAGCTCCGCTGCATTTTTCAACATCTCCCTTCTCACAGGAAGCTTCTGGGGTGTGGCGATTGGCGTCAAGGTCTTCGGATTGAACATTCACTGGATGTACCCCATCGCCTTTGTCCTCATTATTATTGGACAGGTGATCTACTTTCTGCGACAGAGTATGGTTGGTGAGGCGCTGAAGCCATGGTTGGGCAAGGATCAGGAAAGAGGCCATGCAGGTGTGGGTACGGCGAAGAAGAGGGTCGAGAGGCCTGAGGCTATTGTCTAGGAGTGGACGTTATGACGGCAATGCCAGAGGGATGATTTCGATTTTACTTATAAGATCATTTAAACCTACGAACCCTAATAAAAGACTCTGATAGCAAAAACTGGCCTTTTTAGTCGTCTCTATCGGCGAAGAAGACATGTAAATTCAATGTCTCAACCGATCTAGCAGCTACGAGATGAGCATCCTCCGTCCATACCACCCTCGTCTATCAGCCCACCCTATCGACCAGTCGCGATACGCAGTGAATAATTCCATTGTGATGATGATGTAGCCGTGGTTTAGTTGCGCCGCACACTTGACCCTGAGGTTCTGCTCATGATCCCTTGATGTCGTAGCTCCAATCGGGTATAATCGGTGAAAAGAGCCTATTCGGAATACGAAATGAAGCCCGCCATTGCTTGAGGTTGACTGGCAAGGCATATAGGCCACGCGAAAATGCGTATGAGTTGTCCATCAAACTCGCTCTTCTACAGTAAGATTAGAAGCTCGTGCGTGAGGGAGATGCTAAGCCACCGCGCTTCTCACACAACGGCCAGTTTTCCTTTCTCACAAGTCCAAGAACTCGCCAATCTCTCTTTCTGCCGATTGGAAAAGCCGGAACCTGATCTCAACAATGAGAGAAAGGAAGACGCCAGCCTCGACCCAGAATGCAAAAGTCGCAAAGTTCTTCCATGCAGTCCAACAAACGACGTACGCGGTTGTTATGCCGAAGCCAGCAATAGCTGCGCTTGCAATTGGTGTTGTTGATAACCAACCCTTGTCCGAAGCTGTCAAGATGAGATAACTGACTGCGAATGCTTCTAGCGGCAAAAACGCCATGACTAGGCACGTGAAGTCGTCGTTGGCTGGTAACGAGGGTGACACGTAGGCAATGGCGCCTGTTATGATCCAGCAGGCTAGATTACCCGTAAATGCAAGAAGCATGGTACCAGCAGTCGGTATGTGTGGAGACTCGTGTATGCGATGTGTTTGAGATCCGGCTGCGCCGTCTGCCTTGGCTGTAGTTGGAGGGCCTGCAGCTTTTATATTGCTCATGGTGACGGTAAACGGTGAGGTGTGTCTTTGAGAGGTCACGCTCAATTCTTCTTTATGTCGATTCGTTTTACGGTCTTTGGGACTTTCTTGATTTTAACTTGCGGGTAAGATGACGGACGCCAGGCCGTCACGTTCGTCTGGGTCGGATCGCACGGCATATCAGCAAATCAAAGGCATCGTTCTTCAATCTCAGATTCTTGAATTCGGCCTCTGAGTAATGTCACATGTGCACGAACACATTTAGTGACTGTACTGCGTTTGCGTGGAGCAGAGGCAGTTGAAGCTCTTGCCTAGGTAGTATTCGTTACTAGCCTGTCTTGGCTGACGCCACTTATCACCTGCACCAGCCACTTTCCAACCTTACTTCATCTATACTCTTCCTCAGCAAGCATTAAACCATCCTGCTCTATCCGTGGCAGCTCTCAACCTAAATATATACAAATCTCGCAGATCATGTCTTCGCGCGGTCTTCCCGACGTCTTGATGCAAAAGGTCGACGATTATGTCGATTCGCTGGCGCCCCAGATCCAGCCCCGCATCGCCTCCGAACTTGAAGTCTTCCAACAAAAGACTATCGACAGCCTGGAAACCCAGGTCGTAGACGCTTTTCGTTCGTTGTTCGGTAAAGACAGGCCGTCTTCGTCGGATGGCAGCCGATCGGGCCCTTGGAATCTCAATGACGCAGCACCCGACGCCTATGGTGGACAGTCATTGCCTTTTGCGGATGAAATCGCCAAGTTGACGCGTAGCTTCGGTCAGATTTCTGATGAAGCGGGCGGGGATTTGCGCGATATATTCGATCTTACGGAGGGGAACCGAGGAGGCCCAGAGCAGTCTCGATCTGTAGACGGGGATTTCTCGTCTGGAGCTCGAGGTTTCCTTTCATCGGCTCTGAATGTCGTGCAAGATCATTTCGACGAAAGAGGGTCAAAGGGTGGTCAGTCCTTTGAGATTGGGGGTCTTCTCGGTATGATCAGTAGCACAATCAAGGACGCATCTCAGAACCCCGAGGAGAAGGCGAGACTTATCAGCCCAGAGATTAAGCAGACAGTTGGTGACAAGTTACGTCAACAGCACGCGCCTCTCGCTGAGCAGTTCACCCGCATAGCTCTGGAACACATCAAGCGCTGGCTTCGTGGAAACACAAGCACGCGCGACTTGGGTGATGGTGCGAAAGCCGAAATTGCCGAACAGGTGGGCGACCTGGTAAAGGGCCTTGGAAATTTGTTCGGGAGCAAAAAGAGCAGCAATGAGGAGACTTCGAGAGGCTTTGATGACTCTAGTCGTGATGGCGAGAGCAGTAGTGGTGGAGGCTTCTCCCGCGTCATCAGTGACAAGCTCAGCACTGGTCTCGCCAAAGTCCACCGAGAAGTGAGTAATATCACTGTACGAAATTTGTGTGGGAAAGATACTGACATGACACACTCATCTTTAGGTTCGCTTGGAGTTCCGCAAGATCCTCGGAGCAATCGAGAAACAACTATTCGAATTGTTACCTGATCAATTCCAACGTCCACTCGAGAAGATACTAGGAGGAAATCCTTTCGATTCACAGCTCGACCGCGACGCGTCCGGTCCAGCAGATCGCGGGTTTGGAGATGACATCAAGTCCAAATTGCTCTCCAAGATCCGTGCTTTGGTACAAAAGGTACAAGAGACACTTCGAGAAAGCATACTGGGTGTAGTCAATGGTGGTCATCGCAAGTTTGAGCGTCAGAGCTGGGTCTTCGTGCAGGGCATGGTAGAACAGAAAGTACAAAGGTACCTGCCAGACGTCAAGATCAACGTCCCAGACGATATCGGAAACGAGAACGTAAGCGTCGGATCCCCGACTGCGAACACAAGCATGGGGGGAGGTTACCAACCTCCGTCACAACCGCCACACGGTGACCATCGTCCACCCCCCACGTCTGGCAGTTACAGTGGACAGGAACATGTGCCGCAGGGATACAACAACCCCCCACAGTACCAGAGCCGTGATCAATACCGAGAGGACCCTAGACGCGAGTACCAAGATCATCAGGCGTCACAATACCCACCGCCTCAAGACTATCGACCCGAGCATCACGGGCCACGTCATGAAGGCTATGCTCCTCAGCAATATCAACCACCTCAACATCACCGCCCTGAATCATATCCATCTCAGGACTACCGATCTGAGCACCATGCCCCACCTACACAGGGTTACCATCAAGGACCTCCAGACTATCGTTCGGAGCAGTACCCACCATCCCAACAAGGCTACCCTCAACAAGAGTATTCTCAGCGTGACTACCGCGGTGACGGGTATCGAAGGCAGGACTATTAAAAGAGTCGCGTAGGGGCACTAACCATGTCAAGCGTGCAAGGTACAGGTGTCAGCTTGCGCGACTTCTTCCACAACCATACCTACGATGAAATAGCAATCAATTATAAAGCCATCGATGACTTCCCGTCTGTAGTTCCCGGGCAGATGTATGTAAGCGTAAGATGTATGACTAGGACTGCAATATCTTTTCGGTAATCGTAAAAGCCGAATTCCGGCTGAAGATTCCTGGATTACGTCGCAGATACGATTACTATAATAACTAAGCGCTACCGACAACTCCATAAATGCAGGCCCAAAGAGATCCGTGGTATCATATATCTGTTCCTCCCAACAATCCGTACGCCTGAATGATCCGTCCCTTGTAGTCCCCTTATGAGGACGATGACGCAGAATCTTCAGCAGAGGGCGAAAGCGAGGCTCCACCGACCCGAAGAGCTTTCAGCGCAACGTCAACTTCAGTGGTCGCCATCTTCTGCCATTTCTCCCGCGTGTCTTGATCCGCCAACGCATCAGCACCAGCTTCACCAACCTTTTCGTATAGCAAACGTGATACGTCGCGATTGACGTCGGTATACTCCTGTTTCGTGACTTCTTTCTTCAGGTAAATGGGTTTTAACACAGCTGTAACCATGCGCTGCAGTTCAGCTTTGGTAGAATACGAGAGGGTCGGCCGGCTAGGCGACGAGTCCTTCGAGCGAGGGGGGCTGCTGAGGCCGACAGAGCGATGCGCGAGTGTGCGACGTCCGGGGCGGTCGTCGTCTGCAGGGGAATACGGCGAGTAGGTTGGCGACAATTGCTGGTCCTGTTGTACAGGTGATGTGGTGCGAGTAAGATTAAGAGGCGGCGGTGTGGACATGCCGGGAGGTTTCTGGTAGACCGGCGACAGACCTGGGGAGGAATGTTGGGGAGAACAAGCGCGCTCCACGATGATGCGCCGGGGCTGTGGGGCGGCGATCTCCTTGTCGCGCTCGGCAAACCGGTCGACCTCGACCTCCTGAAGCAACGATTGCAGAAAACCAGGCGCGGGAGTTGAACTCTCACCGGTTGGAACTGCAGGGGGCGATGATGCAGCAGCAGGAGCGTGAGTGCTAGCCACCGTGTTGCGGCGTGCGGCTGCCGACGATGACTCTCCGTTGTCCAGGTGCATACGGGTTCGAGGGCGCTTGAGCTTGCGTTCTGGCTTCTGCTCGCGAGGCTCAGAATCGGCAGGAGAGGAGTCGATGGACTTGCGTTTGCGGCCTCTTCGGCTACTGGTGCTCGCTACGCTGGGGGCAGGACGTGCGTCACCTTGGGCTAGCTGCTCGCGCGCCTTCTCGAATTGGTTCCACGCCCGCAGTTCTTCCTGTGACTCTGGATCTTTTGGTGTCTTTGGTGGCTCGCGATGAAGCGTTCGATTCGTCGGTCGTGTAGCGCCGTTGGAGTTGCGGCGTCGACCGGTTACAACATTGTCAGTGGCGATTTGGAAGCGAGTGCCGGCTCCGGCCTGTCGTGCGACTCGCATGCGCTGCTCCCATCTACGGTCATCGCGTCGCGTGGCATCTGACTGGTTCTCAGACTGTTCTTCCTCGTCAAAGGGGAACTCGATGTCAAACTGCAATCGGTCCCAGACGCTCTGCCAGACGCCCACCCATTCGTCAGGGGCATGATTGTGACGCGGCACACGGCTCCGGCCGTTGATCCAGGCAGCGGGACCTCGTACTGCAGGTCGTCGTCGGGACGCGGCTTCCAGCAGACTAGGATTCTCAACACAGCCCTGGCAATACCAGGGCCCGCGAGATGGCATCCGGTCGAGTCCAGCACAGAAGACATGGCAGAGTTGTTCGCAGCTATGGCAGTACATGAGCTGCGATGCGTCGCCAAATTCATCACAGACCATGCATGCATCGTAGCTTCCGTCATCCTCCAGTATGTAGTCGTCGTCGATGATCATGGACGGATCGATATCGGCGACTTGCTGCTTGTCTTGCACGGCGTACTCGGATAGTTTGGGTCCTGGTGAGTTGTTAGTCGAAATTCCATGTTGACAGAGCCACCTTGTGCGGCAAGACATTATAGGTTTGGGTAGAGGTCATGCTGAGCTTGACTGACCATTTAGCCAGTAGCTAGGCTACTATCAGCCAACAATAGCAGCGTCACAACCGCAGGGCTCCGTAGCATCCAGGACTGACATACCTCCAACGCGCGCGCTGAGCTCGACCATGTTGAAACTGGCTCGACATATAGGGCAACTGTTCGCTCGTTCGACCCAGGGCTTGAGGCACTCGTTGTGCAGATCGTGGCCGCATGGCAGTAAATGTGCGACCAAATCGTCCTCCTTGGTAGACTCTACGGCCGCCATCTTATCCTTGGCATGTGATTGGAGGTCGACATCAGCGCCATCCTCAAGCGGCTTGGTCGTCAGCGATGATGCGGTGGCGGTAGGGCCGTCGTCGAGGGGGACGAGATCGCCGAGGCAGACTATACACGTCTCGGCCATTGGTGTGATGCTTGGAAGTGAAAGAGCGGAAGTACTCGTCGACGCGATTCATAAGTTGGGAAGATGATCAAGTCGAGAGAGCGGGGACTGTGGTTTAAGTAGCGGACGCTAGTGGCTTGGCCTGCAGCCACACTCCTAGGCAGTCGCAACCAACCCCGGAAACCCGTGATGTTTGCCAGCCCTGAAGAGGATGCCCAAGTGGAGACTAGTGGCGCCTTTGGTAGTGTAGAATGCGTGACGAGATCCAAAGCTGCTGCGGGCGGGCAGATGCTAGATGATCAGTCATTCTTCGCGCTTACCTTACCACGTGTTCGGGACCCGAAGGAGCAGTCCGGATGACTTGCGATGTCACCGAGTGGTTACCTATGGTGTAAATATGTTTCAGTTCAACCGCTTCGCTATCTCTTCAACTCTTGATTGTGTCAGATGCGCTTGTGGTATACGGAAGGCGCGCTTAGCCTCAAGGTACTCGCATCGGTTTCCGTCTCGCGTCTATGGGGCATTCTGAAGTGGGAAGTCCGCGCATACAAGGCCGGACGGTCTGGAGATCTGGACAATCTTATCTTCGCGAGAAGACGTCACTATGGAATACACTGATAAGATAACGACAGCTGCTGAATCTGGTGTTGATGGGCCGAACAATGTGTCTGCAGCGCAAGCTCCCTCGGCGTATGGTGACGTGCAGCGCTACCAATGCCAGCCCTTGTATATTCGATACTGCGTTGGAAGACGACTCGAAAGTTCCGCCTTTGTATGGACAAAGTAAAGCAATGTAACGGGTCTTGTATTTCTACGTGTAGCGCCTCGGGCGACCTTGTAGGCGCCGGACGAGGATACCGCGCGACGCGGGCGATGTGAGTTCGCGGTATGTTTGCGGCGGCTTCTTGCATGTAGCTACCATCATCTTGAATCCTGCTGTCAGGTCTTCCTGTGAGATTTGCATATTAGCGACACTGCGAGAAACGTGGGTGTCGCAGAAAGCAGACCGCTTCATCTGCACTGTCGCGCTCCTCCACCAGGCTTCTCTGCCTTCATTGCCCGATCCAGAGAGATGACTCAGTCGTGCGATTGGAGTACAACAACTTGTGTGGAGGCCGAAAAGCCATTCAAGGATAGCGGTGAGGAATACAATTCATCGGCGTGGAGGGGCATTGCTCAAATTCAGCGTCTGTTGCCAAGGCGCTTAGAATATTTCGAGAATAGTGCATGTCCACATCGTGATCTATCCATGTAAAGGCTTACTCTGTACGTGGTATCGTTAGCTGGCGATCATTTTTTTATCTTGAGCTGTATTGTAGTGCAGCACTCGCGATGCGGCCTTCCTTCTTATGAGGCGTACTGCGAGCGGTGCAGATATTGTATCTACCGCGCACGCCGGCGCCTGCCTCGGCATGACCGCAGGCATCCAAAAGAAGGGTCTTGTCCGAGTCGCGTAGTATTCAATGATTAGGAATTTCCCCTAGCTGCACCCCGATTGACGTTTTCCTGTCTCCTCGTCTCTTCTTTGCTCAATCACACACCCTCATCAGGATGGCTCAAGAATCGCGACAATATGAGCTGATCTTGCTGGGAGCAACCGGATATACCGGAAAACTCGTTGCGGAATGGGTGACTACCCATCTGCCGGATGATCTCAAGTGGGCTGTTGCTGGACGCAATGCGAAGAAACTGCAAGCTGTAGTCGACGAATTGACGAAGCTAAAGCCAGATCGCAAGCAGCCAGGTATGTGGCGACAGAATCTGCGTTACAAATATGTGACGGACAAAATCTGACGGGTCAGCTAACGAGACCTAGCTATCGAGACATGCGAGCTTGAGCGCCAACAGCTAGAAACGCTTGTTAAGAAGACAAAGCTCATCATCACGACGGTGGGCCCCTTCATGCACTATGGCGAGCCTGTCCTTGCCGCCTGTGTGAACAACGGCACACACTATCTAGACTCCACTGGTGAGGTGCCATGGATCTACGACATGGTTGCCAAATACGATGAGCTTGCGAAGAAGAACAAGACCATCGTCATCCCCGAATGTGGTCTCGACTCTGTTCCTGCAGACATCATGGCGTACGTCCTCGCACGCGAGGTGCGCAAGCGCTACGACGCACCCTGCGAGCGCGCCATCATGACACTCTACGACTTCAAATCTGGAATCAGTGGTGGAACATCCCTTACTATGCTGGAACTCTTCAAAAAATACTCACTCAGTCATCTCGGAAAGTCGATGCACCCATACTCGCTGTCGCCGGTTAGCGCAGACAACGTCGTCGCAGCACCGTCGGGACGCTTTCCATACAGTCTTTTCGGTCTACAAAGTATTCCTGAGCTTGGAGGCATCCAGACAACTGGACTCATGGCAAGCGTCGATGTATGCATTGCACATCGCTCGTGGGGTCTGTACCAGTCTTCGGGTGATGACACCCTGCAATATGGTCCCAAATTCCGGTTCAACGAGTACGCGCGTGCTCCCAGCTTCTTTGTTGGGCTAGCACAGAAGGTCGTTCTTACTTCAGTCGCCGTTCTGCTTGCCATACCAGTAACACGCTGGTTGTTGGAACCCGTCTTCAAGATGGTCATCCCAAGCCCAGGCCAAGGACCGTCGAAAGAGAGCATGAAGGATGACTTCATGCACTACCGTGGTGTTGGCACCACTGGGGACGGAAAGAAGGTGATTGCTAACCTCGAGGTCGCACATGGTGGGTATGTTGCCACAGCGATGACACTCAGTGCCGCCGCCTTAGTCGTTCTCCGAGGCAGGCTAGAGGACAGCGAGGCGGGTAAGCTAGGAGGTGGCATTCTTACACCCGCAACACTGGGAGATGAGTACGTGAAGACACTGAATGACTTTGGCATGAAGATCAGAGTGGACAAGTAAGATATTGAGCGGGAAGGCCTTTGGCCAACAATTGATCTCCAATATCCAATCTACGAAAAGTTCATTTGAACACAGCATGTACGAAACGAGCAGATCACATGCTTTGATCGTAACCTTACCGCACGTGGCTTCATCATGCATCATCCCTGGTCTTCTCATCAAAGTGTCACGAGAGCGATGATGTCAATGAAAAATACGTTTAGCTAGTCTTGACGATGTACTCAGCTTGCTAATCAAGATCGATTATGCAAAATGACTAGACCTGTTCCTCTCACTTTCAATGCACCTACTCTCTCGACTATTGTCGTTTCCGTCTTCAGGTGACTGCCTCAGCAAATATACAGTAGAGACGTGATAGCTAAGCTATAGTCCCCTATTGCTGGGTTGTCGTTGATCGCTGCTTCGATTCCCCAACCCCTCTATAGTGGATATTGGAACGACAATGCATTAAACGGTACGATGGAATCTCCCCTTCTCGGGGAGCTCAAAGCAGTCGCCCGATTGTGTTCTGCCAGCCCCTACAGAAAGTCTCCAACACTAGTGCAGCGGCTACTTGGGCAAAAGCGTTTGGTTGAGGGTTAAATGGTAATTCCTGGTGCTGATGTAAGAAAGTGCTCGGGTATTAAACGCAAGTATCGCTCGTCCTCGTCCGCTACGCCTCCTCTCTGATCCACCGTCCGCATCCAACAGAGTAGACGCCAATAGCCCAGTGTGCTCATGACCCGCTGTGTGTCTCTTCCTTCTTGGTTGTACCATCTTCCTTCTGCCTCGCACCACCGGGTCCCTGCTTAGCCAAGGCTTCAATCATCTCCGCAACCGCAAGGGCCTTTGTCCGGTTCGCTTCTTCATCTGCGGGGTCTGAGAGGGTGTCGAGGCCGCCGAAGAGCCAGAGTTCTTGTAAATCGCGGATGAGGGTGGAGATGCCTTGTGCCGTTCGGATCTACGCACTGTTAGCCCAGCCCCGCTGCGTTGGGAAAGCTGGCGTGCGGTATGGAAGCTTGCGACGCACCAAGGCAGCACTTTGTTCTCTAATGACCAGCTCCCTTTGTGCAGACGTTGCATAGTCCAATGCCGGCGGAAACTCGGTTCGTGTGTCGTCTTCCGAGTAGTCAGTCGCATCCTGCATCTTCACGGCGCGAAGAATGGTGGAGAGGTAGCCGTCGCCGCCCCATGGGTCATCTTTCCGGTTGTCGACAATGGAAGTGCATAGTGCCTCGGTCTTTGCTGTAAGAGGGTTAGCATGCGCTTGACGGGCTCTTGTGTGTCTGCATCTCCATAGCGTATATGGCACATACCGAGAAGTGCCTCTTTCGTCCGCTCTGAAGGGTTCATAGCGGGGCTGCAGGTGTGTCTGGCGCTCTGAGTTGCGGAGTTTCGGGAGTGGCCTCCAGCCCGATCAAAGGGCTTATCGATAGCTAGCTCGCACAACTTGTGCTATGCAAACTTGGCTGCCGGCCCTGCATTCGACTTGATCCAAGCATGCGATCGCCACGGTGATCAACACGGGGGGCTTGAAGTCCCAGGGTCCGAGAGTGAAGATCACAGTCTCGCGACCCAAAACCTCGGCGTCGCGTCACGCTATTGATCAACCCGGGGCATGACGTCCTTCAAAGGGGCCCCGTGTGTCGCCAATCTGGGACCGAAGCATTTAACCATTTATCCCCGATGATACTATGGACCCGGTACCTGGTAGTATCGCGCCATGTCAAATCGAGTCCCAGGTGTCTGTTCACCCAAGGCATACACCTGGCCATGACGGCGACGTCGAAAGCTTCAGCGGCTCGTCACAAATTGGCTGACAATTTGTCAACGAGTCGTGCATGGGCATTTTGACGAGTTGGAAGCCCGCGGACAAAGTTGGGTTTAGACGTTCCGTGGACGTTCGGCCGTTCGCGTAATCGAAACCATCGTTACCAGCACGGATGATCGTCAGGAACGGCCGCCATACCCGTCTCCACCTGACGCCCGCTTGTGCTACAGGTCTTGTGTATCGTGCCGTCGTCGTCGTCGTGTCTTCGAGCAAAGCAGACATCTCACACATGGCCTGCTATCACGCAAGCTGAGACGGTCCGTCTCATTCATGGCCCGTGAACTGGGCCGCAGATAGCGACCCTGCATCCGAAAGCCACGTTCCTGGTTCAATGGCTGGCTGCCTAGGCGGTAGACCCGGGAACGCCGCACCTTATCGCGCAGCGACCACCTTCCACTAGCCTGTTTGACACGGACAATGTCCGATTTCTTGTTAGAGGGCCAACGGAGCGCCGACTACTGCAATACACTGTATTGCTGACCAGGGTTCGGAACTTGTCCCGTCTGTGGCTTGCGCCTTGCATGCGTCGCGCATGTATCACTTCCAGCCATGTGGGTCTGCATCGATAACATGCTTGGGATGCATCGAAGAATCCGAGCGAGGCCTATGTTTGCCGAAACAGAGACGGGTCGACGCAGCGTGCGAAAGAAGCCATGTCATAAAATCGTCGTGATTGCTACTGGGCACTATCTACGTAGATGTGTAAAATTTGCGGTGGACCATGCTCACTAACGTCGTGTGCTGAAACACTTGCAAAAACGCCAGGACTCCTGCGTCATTTGTGCTCCTTTAAACGCTCAAATCCTTCCCAGTCGTGATATAAGAATAAAATAGTTTAGAGGAGTAAAATATCGGCCCCAAGCGCTGTATTGCCAAAACGCCTTGGCCGATGTAAAATCACGCTAAAATGCAAGGTGCAGAGGTTCTCCAATAGGTCGAAAAATGGTGCCTTAGTGGTCAAGGCAATCAAACTTGCAGCACTCATACAGAGCACAGTATGCTGCGTCGGGAAAGGGTGTGCCATGAGCTGCGGCTCTTGGCACGCTGTGACGTAGGCCGCGAGTCGGGAGCAGAAGGTTGAGGCAAAGTCTGGGGTTCAGATATGTGTTTTCGCTTGACCAAAGTGGCTTTTGCAGGTTGTGGGTTGATGACGCGGACGATCTCGTCGTCGTCTTTGGACTCTTCAGACTTGGATGTGCCTGTCGCGAACATGAGCAGTTGAGCGTTGAATCAATTAGGGCTGCTTACGAGAAGAGGCTGAAGTACGTCTGGAAGTGTGAGAAGACGTCTCCGCCGAGTCTGCACCTAGGATTAGCGGGTTTGTTAACCATCAATGCCGTATTGCTTACCGTCTGGAGAAGAAACATTGGATAAAGGACTCCGTCGTTTGGTCATGGAAGACCTACTGCTCGCAGTCTGGCGCGGTCGTGGACGATAAGTCGCAGCAGGTGGGAATGCTGGTAGAGTGGGTACTGGCGGTATGTTGTCCGAAAGATGCAAAGGCTGGCCTGACACGGGTGGACCGCGTCCTCTAACACGGTTTTGCTCATCAATTTCCATGGACAGTCGCCGAATCACCGCGTCTATGGAAAGGCCCTCACGGCTCTTGGGTCTGTGGTTGACGGTACGAGTAGGGTTCGGTGTTACGCCGCTCCTGGCGCGCAAGGCTGGGTGTATGAGGTCGGACGAGTGGTCGAGTTTCCGTCGTACTGCTTCGGGCAGCGGTTGAGAGGCGGTTCTACTCCTTCTTGCGGCTTTGATCCGAGCCTGCAATTCTTCAGCGGCGACCAATTTGGGGTTCGCAGCAGGCGCATCCTCGTGTGCCAAAGGCTTGGAAAAATTGGTAAAGGGCGCGGACGTGGGTCTCGGAGGCTTTATCGTAGCAATGGGGTCTTTTTGGTTGAATGCTGCTGGTATGCTCCTGTGTTTCAGGGACGTGGACATTATTGGTAGTTGGTGATGAACGGGGTGCAAACGTGTTAGGATCCAAGTCGAAGGGGTTTGCGGAAGGTGTTTGGCTTCTGGGGTAGCGTAATCTATAATGGATAATTATGATTTCCCAACAGTCGGGGCGGGAGAGGCACTTGCGTAGCGTGGGAACTGGGTTTCTGTCAATGCGCCGTTGCTTCTAGCGCTTCAGATGCAGATCCCTCTGTGAGGCGCAGCTGGTGAAACTCGAAAAGGCTAGCAGGCGTTGATAAACAATCCCAAGTTGCTTTAGCGACCGCCGACACAGCTCAGCTTCGTATAGGAGCACTTGAGCCTGGCCTCTCAGTATGCCACGGACTAACGAATGCGGCAATGGTCGCGGAACATGGCGCAACGTGTGCCATTGGTGATTGGCCTCCCGCGCTATCATCCCCAAACCCTGGAAGACTATGGCTAGACCATTGCCGATGCATCTACGTGTGCCGTGTCTATAGTTAGTAGTGTCGAGGCTCGTAGGATATATGACGAGGCGTCTGCCTAGGCAATGGTTCATCGAGTTGTCCGCAACGGTGACGGCTCGCGCAGTGCCATGGGCTCCCACGACGCACTGTGGCATTGGGATGGGCGCCGGGGGACGTTTGAAGGTGGGCGGGCGGCCAGCTATGGAGAAGCGCGTCCCGCAGCATGCATACTTGTGGCTGTCAGCTCTGCAGCTCGTGCACCACTTTCGCTATGGAAGGACGTATGTACAGCAAGTCGAGACTCTCGGATGCCAGCCCAGATAAGTCCAGGTAGACGCGCTGTGCATCTACCGAGAGTGCATCGTACGAGCCTTGCTCGAGAGGTAGTGGCGTGCGCAGCGAAGAGCCCCCGCCCCGCGGTATCGCAGGCCAAATGGCAATGGGCGGCCCGGTCGCAGTGGGAGACAGCGAAGGTTGTCTGACCATGGTGCCTTCCTCTATAGTCATCCCCTCGCTTATCCACCCAGTGCACCGCCAACGGCACGTGACGAATGGGTAGCCCCAGAGCTGCCTGCCTGTCTGCCTACGTATTCAGGCAGGTAGCCCTGGAGATGATGGCACAGAGCCAGTCGGGCAGGTGCGTGTGAAGGGCCATGGGCGTAGGTTGCGATGGGTGGTGCAGCGTCTGGTGGAGCTGTGGGTGCCAAGCTGATTGCGTCAGTGAAGCCGGCGTGGGCAAGCGCGCATCTCAGCGGGCGCCGTCATACGAGGCGAAAGCTGCACTCCTTCACACCAAGGCTGGCAACGGGTCGGGCGACTGCATACCGGATTACTACCCCGCAACACACACCTCGCAGACCGCGCCCACACATCGCCGCGCTCGCCAGGGTTCCGCGTGGTGGTTACCTGCCCAGGCACGCACTGGCATTGCGCTCCAAGCAGCTAGTGGCCAAGGCCCTGTGCGCTCTCCCGCCTTCGTTTTGCGACCCACGACGCGACAAAGTGTTCCGAGGCTGATCTCCATCACCCTGCCCCGTCACCGCGCCATCGCGTTGTACCATCGACTGCTGCGCGCGCCGGGCCTGCCCCATCCACGCCCTTCTTGTCGCGTTCCCGAGCTCTGCGATAGCCCGCAAGCGCCGCCGCGCCTCCTAATCGTCATCCGCCAGCACAACACGCAGCCGCCCCAATCGCCCACCCCCGACCTCCGCCCCATCCACCGCCAATTGTCCGCTGCACATTGCGCAAACGATCGCGACCGCCCGCCTGCCTCCGGAGGGTACACGCCCTAGCCGGAGAGTGTCGACACACCGCCGCCGGTTATGGCAAACGTCGCTCCGCCGCCTGCGAGCGAACGAAAGCGCGTCAAGGTCTACGAACTCAAGAACAACGACTGGTTCGACAGAGGCACCGGCTTCTGCAAGGGCGTTGTCGCCAGCGTACGTTCCTCCACATGACCCGCGAGCCACCCTCACAGTTGGCGCACTTGTCGCGGTATCTGGCCCAACAGGCGTTCCAGGCTAACTTGTGCGACCGCAGCAGGAGGAAGCGAGGATCGTGGTCCTCTCCGAGGACGACCAGTCGCGACAACTCCTCGAGACGCGCATCTCCAAAGACGACGGCTACCAGAAACAGCAGGGTATGCGCCTGTCCGCGCCCATGGCATCGCAGCAGCTAAACATGTGCAGACACGCTCATTGTATGGACCGAGCAAAATGGCACCGACATGGCCCTCAGCTTCCAGGAGCCCGAGGGCTGCGCTAGCATATGGTGAGCCGCGTGTGCCTTTCCGAGTCCACGTCGTATGCTGACGCAGAACAGGGACTTTGTCAATGAAGTTCAATCGCGGCTGCAAGCCCTCGCTCAGGGTACGTGACATGAATCGTCCCCAGCTTCCAGCAAGCTAATGCTGACACAGACGATGGTCTTTCAGACGACATCGATCACATCAGTCCCATCCTACTTCCCAGTCCCGACCTCGGCAACCTCCACGAAATCGAGAACCACATGCGCGCTGCAAATTCGACGCCCGGCGGCCGCGAAGCCTTGGCCAAGTTCATACTCGCCCAAGATTACATACCAAAACTCATCCCCTTGGTGGACATGGCCGAAGACCTCGAAAGCGTGTCAGACCTCCACCGACTGTGCAGCATCGTAAAGATGCTTATCTTGCTCAACGACACCGCCATCATTGAATACGTCGTAACAGACCCGGTGGTTCTGGGTGTCGTTGGGGCTCTGGAATGTGAGTTTCGGCCCCCGCGACCTCACATGGCTTGCTGACATTGCGCAGACGACCCGGATTTTCCTCTACACAAAGCCAACCATCGACAATATCTCGCTGATGAATCCAAGTTCAAGGAAGTCGTACGGATAGAAGACGAAAACATCAAACGGAAAATACATTACACGTACCGACTCCAATACCTCAAAGACGTGGTTCTTGCGCGCATCCTCGACGATCCTACTTTCAGCGTTCTGAACTCCCTCATCTTCTTTCACCAGGTCGACATCGTCCAGCATCTCCAAGCGAACGGCCCATTCTTGAAAGAGCTTTTCAGCATTTTCTCCCCCAAAGAGCAGAACTTGTCGAGGAAGAAGGACGCCGTCTTGTTCATCCAGCAATGCTGCGCAATTGCGAAGAGCTTGCAAGCCAACGTTAGGGCACAGCTATATCAGAACTTCATCAGCAGTGGCTTGCTGGAAGTGATACAATTTGCGCTCAAGCACCAGGACGCTTCAGTTCGCGTAGCAGGAACCGACATACTGGTATCTCTGATCGACCATGATGCCTTGATGGTGCGAAGTTACATCTTCAAAGCCATTCAGGAAAAGTCAAAACCGCTCACCGATACCTTGATCGAGTTACTTCTCATTGAGGTAGACCTTGGGGTCAAAGCGCAGATGGCTGATGCGATCAAGATCCTCCTTGACCCCAATGCCAACTCAGCTTCCATAGAAGCCCTCGGGCGGACGAACAGCGACTTCCTGGCCAAAATGAGGGGGCAACTGCCATCTATACCCCAAACAGACTCCTTCATACAGAACTTCTATGACGAGTCTGCGAGGAAGTTGTTCCAGCCTCTCAAGGATCTTGAGGGCCGAGAGTCGGGTAAGTGTGATTGTTCGTCCCCTTGTGATTCAAACTAACATGCTGCAGTGGATGACTTATCCATGCAAGAAGTATCGCTTTACGCCCATTTAGTCGAGGTTCTGTGCTTCTTCATCCGTCAACATTCCTTCCGTAGCAAATACTTCATTCTATCAGAAGGTCTGGCAGTGCGGGTTGCCCAGCTCATGGGTTGCCCAGAGAAGCATCTGAAGCTTAGTGAGTCCCCCTACATCGATATGATGGCTTCCACTAACGGGTTCTAGCCGCTCTCAAGTACTTCCGCACTGTTCTCGGCTTTCACGATGAGACGCACAACCGCCAGATCATCCAGCACGAGCTGTTTGAACCGATCTTGAAGATACTATACGAGACCATGCCGCGCGATAATCTCCTCAACTCGGCGTGCTTGGAGTTGTTTGAATTCATCAGGCGCGAGAACATCAAGATGATTGTTCAGCATCTTGTCGAGACATATAGAGAAAGATTACAGGAGATTACGTACGTGGATACGTTCCAAAACTTGATACTCAAGTATGATCAGAACCATGAGCCGGTAACGACCCAAGAGATGGAAAATTCCTTTACGAGTGTGGATAGCGACACACCTGCACGACATGCCGCGGCTGTCAATGGTGGCAAGTGGGGCCAAGGCCTGAAAGATGCAGACCCAGATGAGGAGGCATATTTCAACACATCAGACGATGAGGATGATCATTTGTCTGGGGCCGGAAAGTTGGCCATGAATGGCGCATCGCCAGTGCGACCCCTCGTCAACTATCCCGATGATGATGCCGACGATGCCGATATGGACGACCTCGCCACCGATATGCCCGCCTCCGCTCACAAAATGTCGACAACCCAGTTGCCAGAAGGAAGTACATCCCCCAACTCGACCTCCGCAGGATCGCCACCAGAACGGATATCGGAGAAGCGCCGTAGAGAGGAGGACGAAGAGGACGAACTCCTCGCAAGCATATCCACCTCTGCTGGGCCAAAGCGACGCGCTTCCACATCTAGTAACGCCAGTTCTGGAAGTTTGCGGAGTTTGCGTCGGAAGTCGCCTAATGTCAACTCTGGCAAAGATGGTGGCACGCCAAAGAAGATATCGTTATCGATACCACTCAAGAGCAGTGGTGAAGGTGGCGAAAGCGGATAGTATGGCATGCCTCCTCCGCGATAGAGTAACCAGTATTCGAGTATGTGGAGGAAGTCTGGATTTTTGCTCTACAGCAAGCCTTAAAATAACCCAAAAGATACCCATTGGAAACTCGATAAACAAGAACGACGTTGCATGAAAGGGGTTGTACGAGGTTTTGCTTCTTCATGCAAATGGTTCCGATCTGGTAGCGGCATTGCGAAGGTGTAATTATTAGGCGTTCAATGTCTTGACCATTCCGGCGTGGGGGTTTGGAACGGCCAAGATGGAATGATGCAGCGCAGCGTGTCGTATTGTCAGCGTGCGTTCAGGTGTTGGATTTTCTTGTGCATGATCGAAGGTATCCGGCCTGTGTATTATAACTCGTTTTCGTGCGGGAATGTCAACTCGTATGCAAGTCATCAATCATCCGTGCTGAACGTGAAGAGATGGGATTTTCACAACAATGCGCAAACGTGTCACAAGCATAAAATAGCATGGCGTGACACATGCAAGCGTCCGTACCTCTGTGGCTGAATCACGTTCTGTTGTTTCCGCTAGCGCCGCTCACAAGCCCGCGTGCAACTAATGCAACATCCCACGTCTAACCTTCATACAGCTTGCATTTCGGCTTCACGATCAAGCTCTCAGTGCCCGAAGCTTATCCAATACCCAGACACGTCGTGCGATGCCGGACCAGCGCTCTTCTACGAAGCCGAACAACACGACATCGATGGAAAACTCAGCTACGCACAACATCAACGTCTCCGAAATGCCACCTAAACCACCAACTCTGACCCTCATTCTTGCAGCCACACCGAGTCTCGGAATTGGAAACGGTGGAGGCTTGCCATGGCCGCAGCTGAAAAAAGAGATGGGATTCTTTGCGCGAGTCACGAAGCGTACATCGCCTTCAGCGTCCACGGCGAGCATCAAGAAAGTAAACGCTGTGCTCATGGGTCGCAAGACGTGGGAGAGCATACCCCCCAAGTTTCGACCTCTGAAAGATCGCCTAAATATCGTCGTTACTTCGAAGCCAGAAGAGTTCAAAAGTAAATTAGACAAGAATACGGAGGTCGAAGGACCAATGGTCTGCTCCAGTGTGTTGGATGCGATAGCACAGCTCGAGAAGCAGGATGATAGCAGACTCCAAGGCTCAGCGATAGAGCTGGATAAGATTTTTGTTATTGGCGGAGCAACTATATACGAAACGGCGCTTCAACTTCCGCAGACAAAACGAGTTCTCCTCACAAAGATAAAGAAGGAATTCGAGTGCGACACATTTTTCCCCGTCAATCTGGGAGAGACAACAATTTGGAGGAACGCGAGCAGAGAGGAAGTGCAGGCATTCACTGGAGAGGAGATCCAAGAGGGTGGGATTGAGGAGCAGGGTGTCGAATTTGAGTTCTGCATGTACGAGCGGGAGTGAGTCAATTAGAGTGAAAGAGCAGCAAACAAATATGATTCGAACGAATGAATCACAGTTGATGGTCGTGCCCAATGTGAGGAAGGCGCGACGGAGGAGGCGCTCTCACCTCCACCCTGCCACGTCATAGCAATCGATTGTTCGCCTTATGCCCTTCCACCCATCAATCTCTCCTGTTCGTCGGATCAAACTCTACCCGCAACCAGCATGTCAAGGCAAGATCCACCCATGCAGTCCGTATGGCAAGAGCTATGGCGGGGAAGTACGTTATTCAAAGCGGCAGGCACAATACCCACTGACTCTGAACGCCAGATCTCCCTCTCTACCTAGCCATGAATCTCTCGACGACAGCCAACATCGCACTCGTTACTCTGCTCCTCGTCGCCATCTTCTCCATCACCTTTGAGATCGCCCGCATCTGGCTATCCCGTCGCACCCGTCAGACGCATAGCTACGTTCTCGTCGACGACACCGTCGGGATCTCACCGCCGAATTCAGGACCAGTATCCTTGTTGGCACGCACCAACCGTGGTCCCCGCTCGATTGTGTATGCCAAGGCAGTCCTGCATGCTATCCTCTTTCTCGGCGTACAGGCAGTTCTCACTCTCCTCGTTGTCCAGATTGCGCGCCTCATAGCATCTACTTTCGCCACCGACCGCCGTCTTCGCAAGCAATGCGACCGTTTGGCGCAGAGGGGGCTCGAGTGCCCGGCTGCAACACGCTATCACAATGTCCTGAACGTTACGGTTGCCCTTGGTCTGTTTTGCTTGATCCGAGGTCTTCAATTGCACGCAGAACTGCCGACCCGCCCATCTCAGAACAGCAACCACAGCAACGGCTTCCTGACCCTCCAAGACACTTGCCGACGGACGATGCAGAAGGTGCTTGCAGCGCCCATTGCCGTGATCGTCCTACACTCCCGTGTGCCGGCGGATGAGCTGTGGAAGCACGCCAGACTGATTCTTGTTCAGATTGCTGTGTCTGTCTGCATCTTTCTTTGTGGCAACATTCTCTGTCTACTTGCCGCGTTCCCAGTGAGTTTTTTCCCGTCAGTTGACATACAACTATCAAAGCGGCTAACCAGGTCTAGGATATACATGGTACTATACTCGCATTGGAGAAGTCAGGGCTCACTGGAAAGACGGAGGTGTAAAGACGACCTCTAAATAGGGGCTTTGAGGTATATCGATTGCTGCAGTACGGCATGGTGTGTGAACTACACGTATAAAAGTTTACATTGTAGATACGAAACCAAGTCAGGCTTAGCTCGTGTTCTGCTAGACCCTGAAGCAGTGGATTGATACGGAACGTCGGAGATTTCCATAATACGAGAGATTTCGAAGCCGTAGAGATAGGAACGGGACACATGCCATCTTCGTATTAAGCGGATCATTCTCATCGCAGATCACACCAAATCAAAATCTGACGAGGTGCAGGTGGCGCCTGTCCGTGAAGTACCAAGACATGTTTTTCAACATCCTCAAGTACATTCAAGTACATATCCAATCCAGCGTTCCCCCTCTTCTTCCGTGCAACCTGCGTGTACCCACATACCCAGCCCACTCAAGCCATGACAAGATCGTAAGCCGCCTTGCCGCTCATAAGCACCATGGCATAGTGCGCAATCATCCACAGCGCGCCATAGTACCTCCCCTTGCCACCATCCTCGCCACTCCTGGTGTAACCCACCGCGTAAACTACGCGATTCACACTCCACACCGCGCCCAATACCGCCGCCGCAACAGGATATCTCAGTCCGCTGATGAGCATGGCGCCGAGGGCGGTGACGTGGTTCTCGTTGAAGTTCTGGTGCGCGCGCTGCGCCGAGTTGAAGGCCAGCATTGCGGCTTTGGATTGCGGCGACGCGGTTTGCACTTGTTCGTACGAGGCGTATTCGTAGGGGTAGGGGATCTTGGCTGCTTTGCGGAAGCCGCCGACGCGGCCGCCGTGCCAGGCGCCGACGAAGAAGGTGGAGACGCAGGCGGCGAGGACGAGGCTGTGCGTGTGTGGATTAGTTTGTGGGTGGGCTTTGGTGAGGGGTCGTGGAAGGGAATGCATTGAGGTTTCTGCCGTTGCATTTGAACGTACCCGTACTCGCTGGGAATCTGGATAATCGCCATTTTGATTGTTGATGTAGTAATCGAGCCGAGGGAAGTCGTGTTGTTGTGTCGTCTTCAGTTGCGAGATGCGTGGAAGATATTCCGTAGAAGCGCCGTCCGCCTATGTTTTATACTTTTGTCGACGTCTTCCTGTATGTTGTCTAGCGTGATACTGTGTTCTCTTGACTTGGGCAGACGCAATGTGTCTCCAGTTGTTTGCGACGCGGACGAGTTTCAGCGGAAGATAATCCGCAATCGGCGCAATTTCTCGCCGACGGCGTCCCGCAGGTGCTACCAGTATGCGACAACATGGCTGCCTGCATTGCTGAGTCGTACCGCTGATATTTTGTCGAGGGTACAGTCGTGGTCAGAGAGCGGGAAGAAGGATGTGATCAGCCATGGACGAACATGCACGGATGTGCTGCCTGGATGAGGTAGAAGGTGAAGGCTGATTTGGCGGGTGAGCATGTGTAGTTTATTAGCACGCCTGACCTCGTCAACTGATCCTCGCCATGCGCATGAGTTGTTGCCCACCGGCCGCATGTGGGTATACGAGGACTTGTGGACGTCAGAAATTGGGCGCGTAGAGGACTTGACATTGGTAGAATACCATTGATTGATACACTGGGGAGCTGGCGGATATATGTCGTGGGGTGGAGATTACTAAACTACAAAGTGCTCCCTTCCGTCATCCCGCCCCGGAATGGCGACTTTACATTGATTGCAATCGTCAAAGGGAGATCGCGCAAGGGATACCTGGCTTGCTAGTACCTAGTCTGGGCTTGCTCCGTCAAATCATGGTGGTAGATTATGTTGCCCACGCATTCTCCTCCGCAACCCAGTGTATGCACGTCGCCAGAACGTTTAGATCTTTGCTTGACGGGATATGTATATATAACACCATGTTGGATAATTGAGCGCTGAACTACACACATTGACACACATAATGAAGAAGCAAGGTATCTTATGTATGTATGTTTGGCGTTCGGCTAGTCTATAATGCCGAGCCGTAGGCGGAGATCTCTCACTGAGCCTCAAGAAAGTTTTCAAATACGGAATTGCCCTCTGTATGTAGTGCAGAGGCCATCGAGACGCGAACGGGCTGGTGTATTTCGAATCATCAACATGCACTCTAGCGTCCGTCTTAATCGTCGTGTACAGTCCAGTGGTCGTCATGCAACCCTGCAGATGAGACTTGTGTGAACCAAAGTTTTGGTGTATAAAGACTGTACCAATCATCATGCAAATGAACCCGTCTGCTTATCTCCAAACATCTTCTCTCTTGGGCCTGGGAAATTCACAATAGCATGACCCCAAATCTGGGGCGCATGTGCTTGGAAGACGTGAAAACAGGCAGTATAAGGACAGCAGATCAAGAAACGGGGTATATAGATTCATCGCTCATTCATTTCTGTGTGCGGTCATCAATTTCGTGTACAGCCATTCCGGCCACTCAGCACCCATTCGCGGTGACAGCCCTAACAGCCACGCTATCAATCCTTTTTTTGTAGACGGTCATCTGGTGTTTCAGCAAATCACCGTATACAACCTTCCTCAACATCTCGTCGTCCACCGTTACTGCCTCGATATCTTCCTCACTTCTGCTTCCGACTCGTTGTCTCAACACTACCAATCGCCCCGCAGGTGACAATGTACACTGCGGTATTGGCCATGCAGGCAAGGAAGAAGAAGTCGAGTTTGTAGTGTTCGTTTGTAGTGAAGACTTGGAAGGCCTGCTAAGGCGCGGGGCAAAACCATACTTCGATTTCGGTTTCGGCGGGGAAGACCGCGAAGGGTCTAGAAGGCTGGGTTTAGACATCGATGCAACGGTCGAAGCAAGGTTAGAAGCCGCGACAGGTGCTGGACTGGCATAGAGCTTCAGCAAGCTTTTCAGCACGCTCTTGTCCGCTCGCGGTATCGGGTCGCCTTCGTTGATGAAGGCATAGAAGAGACTTTTACGATGTCGCTTGTCATCAGGCTTCTTCAAAGGATGCAGACTGACTGGTGGCGCACCGAACGTGACACAGTGCACGCGCTTGAAGAAGCTGGTCAGGTAATTAAGCTCAGAATTGATCTTTGTGCTCATCATGTGTCCGTAAAGCAGTGCCGCGACTGCTCCGCCCGCGGAGTGTCCGGTGATGAGTAGACTGCAGTTTGAACGCGCGGGGTTTTCTTGGAGCAAGACCTTCAACCGTTCTGCCACGGGCTTGATCATCTTCTTGGCCACGTAGAGAAAGCCAGCGTGGCACAGGTTTGACGGGTCGTCAAGAAACTTCTCCGGGCTGTGGGGTGCCGAGTTGTAGTTGACAGCCCAGTCCATAAAGGTCTGGCTTCCGCGAATAGCGAAGACGATAGTATTCAGTTCTTCCACAGGGATGGACTTGAGTACCATGGCTTTTGTGCCGCTACGCCAATCAGCAGGAATGAAAGTCTCCATTTCGGGATTCTTCTTCGTGCCTGGCGGCGTGTACGCCTTCTCCGAGTAGGTTGCGGCCAAGCAAAGTAGAGGATACGTTGGTAGATATACCTTGAAAGGCGGCAGATGTGGTGGTAATCGGGAGTTGGAATATAGCCACACTTTGGAGAAATGATTCGACCCTTTATCGCTACTAGAGTGGGATTGCACTTCGTGTTGGCGTCGGCGTCTTGGTTCACCAAGAGGAGGGCTCGTTCTCTGAGCCTCTTCTTGCTGCTGCTCGCTGAACTCCATCATGAGGTCTTGTTCTTTGCCGCTGAAGTGATCGTCATCAATGCTGGTGATGACTGCGTCGAACTTCGAACTAATCATATCGTATAGCGCAGCTCCGCGACACAACGTTTGCATGCTCTTTGTAGCGACAGCTGCGGTGGGCCGCTCAATGCAGTTGGTCGTCAGTTTCGTGACACTCTTTCCAGCCGTATCGCGAAGATTCAGGTAGGATTTGGCGGCCATTCGGTCGAGACTATTCCATTGTTGTTCGAAAGGGCCTTGACCGCGGGGTTCTTGGGGTGGCGGAGAAGCAAAGCGGATCGTTGATTGACTAGCGTATGGCTGAACAGGCTGCGGTGGCGGAGAGCCATATCGGTAACTGTCTTCTGGAAAGGACCCAGGCATCTGGCGATAAATGGAGTGCTGAGGCGGACTCGCGGCATAGCCATAGAGGGTTGGGGGAGGCCTCGTTGCTGCTGCACGCTGAGGAGAGGTCGCCTGGACCGGAGGCGCGTAATCTTGCAAGTACATGTCTGCCACTGAAGCCGAAACGCGTGGTTTCCTAGAAGAGGAGCGCGGCTTCGCAGTCTTGGACGAAGAGTGCGAGGACTTCTTCCTGCTCTTCCTCTCGACTTCGGTCGCCGCCATGTCGTCGCCCGAGTCTGTATACGGCTCTGCAAGAAAGTGAAAGAAAAAGTATAGGCAGTGTCGTAATGGCGGGGAAGTCGTGGGATCTGTTCAACGCGGTAATCGTCGTCGATGTCCTGTCCGCGACGTATGCCAAGTTTCAGTCATAGCCGCTGCGTGCTCCTGCGTTACGCTAATGAGGGTTGCATGACGGGCGTAGATCTTTGAAGCTCGATTCCAGATTGTGTTGCTTTTGTTGGGGAGCTCAAAGACGTCTGACAAACGAGGGGACACGTCAAAGGCCGAAGGAGTGAAAGGCTCTGAAGTCAGAATGGGCGCGGCCGGCTGTTAAGGGCGGGTCGATGCAGGCGCAAGGAAGCCGCGGTATAGCCACCGCGCTAGGCCCATCACTGGCTGGATACACAACGCTAGATGACAAGCAGGTGCGATTGGCTGCGTAGGATCTTGGCGCGTATTGGAGCGGTGGACATGTAGCCCTTCGCTGTCGGTGCATGTAGACCTCGTGACCATCTGTAAACGTCGCGAAAGCCGAAATTGCGACCCTGTAGCGGTCTGCAGGAACAGAAGACGAGATTGCTATTTCTGATGTTCCAGCGCACATCCATCCCCACACCCTCGATCAACGGCTAACTTGCCACCACAGCGATCGGACGCCATCCTTGCCATTCGCCGGGGCTTTGGAGTCCCGTTGCATCACCCGCAACTCGTCACACAATT